GGCCCCGCAGAGTCGCCCGCGTCAACGGCCGCAAGGAGGAGGGCGACAAGTTGGACCTGGAGGTGGGGAGCGGATCCCGACGGATCCCGACGGATCCCGACGGATCCCACCCCTTTCCTCCCCCTGGATCCCACCCAGATCCCTCCTGGATCCCGACAGATCCCACTGGCTCCACCCCTTTCCCCCCATGGATCCCACCCAGATCCCTCCTGGATCCCAACAGATCCCCTCGGATCCACCCCTCTCTCACCCCGAATCCCACCCAGATCCCTCTTGGATCCCACCGGATCCACTCCTCCCCTCTCCTTGATCCTATCTAGATCCCTTCTGGATCCTGAGGGATCCCACCGGATCCACTCCTTTCACCCCCTGGATCCCACCCAGATCCCTCATGGATCCCGATGGATCCCACTGAATCCATCCCTCCCTCACCTCGGATCTCACCCAGATCCCTCCTGGATCCCGCCCTGGATCCCACTAGATCCACCCCTCCCTCCCCCTGGATCCCACCCAGATCCCTCCTGGATCCCAGCGGATCCCAATGGATCCACCCCTTCCCCCCCCTGGATCCCACACAGATCCCTCATGGATCCCGATGGATCCCACCGGATCCACCCCTCCCTCCCCCTAGATCCCACCCACATTCCTCATGGATCCCACCCTGGATCCCACCCAGTTCCCTTCCAAATACCAACCCCGATCCCACCTGGATCTCCCCCATCCCTGCAGATCCCACACCCTGATCCCATCGGGATCTCCCCAATCCCTCCGGGTCCCTCATCCCACCTGGATCCCCCCAGATCCCCCAATCCCACCGGGATCTCCCCACTCCCTCCGGATCCCCTATCCCGATCCCTCCGGATCCCCCGGGATCCTCCCCGGATCCCACAGGCTCTGCAGGCCCTGGCGGGGCCGGCAGCACCGGGCGGCAGCCCCGGGCGCCGGAGGCACCTTGGGGACCCTGGTCCGGACCCGCGGCATGAGGAGCATCTCCTGCGGCGTCGCCCTCATCTGGTAAAATTTTGGGGCCCAAAACGCCAAATTTGGGTCTACCGACACCGCAGCGGGGTCGGAAACAACGTTTTTGGGGCCTGGGAGCAGGTTCTCCACCAGCTTCGCCTACTACGGGTTGGCCATGGACCTGCAGCACTTCGGTGTCGACGTCTACGTGACCCAACTGGTGTTCGGCGCCGTGGACATCCCGGCCAAGCTGCTCTCGGCCCTGGCCCTGGGCACCCTGGGGCGCCGGGTGACCCAGGCCGGGGCCCTCGGCCTCGCCGGGATCTGCATCCTCGTCAACGCCTGCGTGCCGAGCGGTGGGGACGGCGACGGGATGGCGGGGCGGAGGGATGAGGGATGGAGAACATAGGGATGGAGGTTGAAGGATGTAGGGATGAGGAATGGAGAACATAGGGATGAGGGATGGAGGCTGGAGAACATCAGAATGGAGGTTGGAGGATGTAGGGACATAGGGATGGAGAACATAGGGATGAGGGATGGAGGACATCAGGATGAGGGATGGAGGACATCGGGATGAGGGATGGAGGCTGGAGAACATCAGAATGGAGATTGGAGGATGTAGGGACATAGGGATGGAGAACATAGGGATGAGGGATGGAGGAGGTAGGAATGAGGGATGGAGGACATAGGGATGGAGGTTGGAGGACGTGAGGATGAGGGATGGAGGAGGTAGGGATGAGGGATGGAGGACATAGGGATGAGGGATGGAGAACATAGGGATGGAGGTTGAAGGATGTAGGGATGAGGGATGGAGGACATAGGGATGAGGGATGGAGGCTGGAGGACCTAGGGATGTAGGGATGAGGGATGGAGGGATGGAGAACATAGGGATGGAGGTTGAAGGATGTAGGGATGAGGGGTGGAGGTTGGAGGACATAGGGATGTAGGGATGAGGGATGGAGAACATAGGGATGGAGGTTAAAGGATATAGGAATGAAGGATGGAGGTGGGAGGGACCGTGGGATGGAGGGTGGAGGTTGGAGGACGCAGGGACAGACGGGGGAGGGACGGTGGGGCCGGGGCTGGAGGGTGACGGGTCGGACGTGGGGCTGGACGTGGGGCTGAGGCCTCCCCGTCCCCAGAGCGGCGGCTCCTGCGCTTGGGCTTCGCCGTCGTGGGGAAGGGCTCCCTGGCCGCCTCCTTCAACTGCGCCTACATCTTCACCGGGGAGCTCTTCCCAACCGTCATCAGGTGTCCGGGCCCCCTCCTGCTCATCCATCCACCCCTCCATCCATCAATCCCTCCATCCATCCATCCATCCATCCCTCCCTCCCTCCCTCCCTCCCTCCATCCGTCCAACCCCTTCCCCATCCAACCAACTCCTTCCCGATCCAACCAAGCTCTTTCCATCCATCCAACCCCTTCACCATCCAACCTCATCTCTGTCCAATATTCCCCACCCAATTCCTTCTCCATCGACCCAACCCCTTCGCATCCATCCACCCAACCCCTTCCCATCCATCCACCCGACCCCTTTCCACCTACCCAGCCCCTTTCCATCCATCCAACTCCTTCCTATCCATCCACACAACCCCTTCCCATCCACCCAATCCCTTCCCATCCACCCGACCCCTTCCCATCCATCCATCAACCCCTTCCCACTCACTCAACCCCTTCCCATCCATCCATCCATCCATCCACACAACCCCTTCTCATCCACCCACATCCCCCCAACCCCTCCCCATCCATCCCCCTACCCAACCCCTTCCCACTCCCCCAACCCCTTCCCATGCATCCATCCACTCAACCCCTTCCCACCTACCCAACCCCTTCCCACCTACCCAACCCCTTCCCATCCACCCAACACCTTCCCATCCACCCAACCCCTTCCCACTCACTCAAGCCCTTCCCATCCATCCATCCATCCATCCATCCATCCATCCATCCATCCATCCATCCATCCATCCATCCATCCATCCATCCATCCATCCA